CGCCCCATGAGTTTCCCTTAAAATGTGGTGTTGGATGAAGCTGTTTACTAGTTCTGAAGCCGTTCAACGAACGAGTTGACAAAGACAAGGATTGTCGATTGATGATGAATTCGCAATGTGATTGCGTGAAATTCACTTGCGTTAGTTGAAGGTAAGATATTCATGGTTACGCTGCAGAATATATATATATATATATATATAAATATTTATATATATAACATTATCATCGTACAGGGAAGCGAACTTCACTGATCGCCGACAAACTCGTAATGCGAATGCATTGGAGTTTGATGGACGGGTACTGCCACTAAGCATGAGAACGATTAGGGTTCTCAACCAAAGCCTTTAATCGTGTCAACAACATAGCCGCAAGGCAGCGGGTGAAGCGATCTTCGACTTGACAAAAGCCATCCTGAGTAGCTCGTTGGGTCAGAGAGGTGCACAAGCCGTCACTTGATGTTGTGTAGATGGATTCGAGGATACTGGCCGCAACGAACGCGACTAGAGTGTCTTTATGGAATGTTTAAAAATACATAGTATGTGCATGACTGAAATAGAATGGGAGCGAAGAAGAGCAGATTTAATTGTGATCAAAATGGTTTGCTTAACCAAAGTTCATCGGATTACCTGGATTAACTAGCGTTAGCAGCCACCATTCATCACTTCCCCTCCAGGAGAAGTCTGCAAACTACGCAGATCAGCCCCATCTAAGGGATTTGCAAGCGTTTAACGGTAAGGATAATGGTACTCGGGAGTGCTCAAGATTGAATCTGTCGCATTCAGGAAATCGTATCCGTTGTGAAATAAAATTATTGTGGATCAATAAAACTTTGGGTAACACTAGTAAAAGTGGAACCACCAAAGTTGACGTTGAATCTTACCGAAAGTTTCAGTGCACGTGATTGTCACTATGTAATGATGAGGCCTGAAAACTAATTAATATACGAATGACCGGATCACATCTCCTTAGAAGCATATGGCTCCGGGTATCTAATGGTCACCCATTAGGTCACTGATTCACTTGAAAGCCTGGTTGATAGATAGGGTTGTCAGACTTATTTATAACGAGTGTTGTGTGAGTGGGGGTGGGGGGGGGGAAGGGAGAGGAGGGGTATAATTTCGAGCACGATGGTGCTCAGGGGTTCAAATATGAATGTGGTCGGATCCAGTGCCATTTTAATGATTCGATGACAAAAATCTCAAGCAAATTCAGATCAGTCCAGTTTGCACACAACTAGTGTTAGCCTTGTCAATCAAGTGTCCAGTTCATTTTGTTGTCGGCAGGTGGCAGTGGCTTCTAACACTGCATATAGATGATTTGTTACTGGTGATCTTTTCAATCAAGTCCAGTTGTGAGCTTGTTTCGGTCCTCGCACCTCGCTCATCTGAGCACTAACGCCTCCGGAATTGGGTCAATGGATTCGCACTGCTGTTGAAAACCAATCAGGTCGAAAAATCAGCTAAGTGCTGTTGTGCGGTTTAACGCACTTGTTCGATAACACTTGTATTCATTACTCCCCTTGAACGCGCAACATCAATACTCGATAAACAGAGACGTACAGATATGCACGCACGTGACATGGACGTTCCTCACATGCAACCTTGATGACATTGACCAATCAGATTGCACTACGTGTATGCTTGGTATTGATTGGATGATTGCTGATTACTTGTACGGCCAGTATTGGCTAAGGACATGCTTCTGTCATTGTGCATGAATTACGTTGCTATTGTTTTGTGTTAATTAAAAGGATTTACTTGCGTGCATATTACGAGTTTTATTGACTACAGCAAGTGCTTCCTAACTTTGTGGTTCACGCTTCATTTGTTCTTTGCACGACGAATTCCCTCTATAACATGACAGCTCTCGGAAGTAAAACATTTGTTTTAGTGAGTAACCACGGCATTGCTTGTTCGATTGTCTGTTGGCACTTATGTCGTAGTCCGGAGAGTACGATGGGAGTTTTGGCCGGGCGGTCAACTAGTTTTTATCACCCATTCGTTGGGATCTTATAGCAGACAAATAAAACAACTTCTGAGATACAAAACAGTTTTGTTTACCTTTTCATCAGAACATTTTTTTTCAATTCAATAAATCTGGAGTAGGGAATAGACGCCGATTGATTAGAGGGTTGAAGAATAAATAACTAAGTGAAGATTATTGCCACTGAGTGAGTACTTCGGTGCATTTTTAGTCCACTTTATTTTCATGTGATGATTTTTCCGCAATCTGTTTCATTCTGCGGCGACCATGTGCACCCATTCTTCGCCTCCTATACCGATCAGCTCGAGCTTTGACTTGTTCCACTTTTCCGTTGGTTTCTCTAATCGAGGTTTTTCGAAGCAAGATTGTCTGTTGTAGGATCTGTTGAATTGTGTCGAAGTTGCGCACTATTGCTCGAAACTGTGATCCAGTTTTCCGAGCAAGACACTGAGTATCGTAAACAATGAAATCCTGAAATGAATAGAAAACGGAGGACACCAATATTTTTGTAAGTACCGATACATAAGGAATTAGCGATGCTGCTATAGAGGTTGAGATAATTAGCCTAATGGCAAGTAATACTCATTTCAAGTACACATAGGACTTTAGTACGAATTTCAAGTGAAACGTTGTGTACCTGTTATAAACATGATCATTATTCGGGAAAATTTAGGTAGTGTCAGAAGGAATGCCAGGTGCAGATTTGTGAAACATAAATGTAAGAGCAACCCAAGAAAAGTCAGATATTTTCTTAACACACGAAAAAAATCGTTTTTGTCGAAAAATCGACAAGATTCATTCTTGCAGCCAAATCTCTCCGGTGGCAAACCATATTGCTGACTTGGAGTGCAGGAGACACGTTAAATTTTATCAAGGTACTTGACTGTTTCAAAAGCAGTCGTTTTTGTCATCGCATCCCAAGAAATTGGGATTGTACCAGAGTCCTTCATTTACAAAGAATAATGTGNAGAAAATTTGAACGCAAACGGTTAAAGGTGGCTACTAGCTATGCTATCCAGTCCAGAATCACAAATATAACTTGATTTGGTGTCCAGTTGTTCGCCGAGCTTGGCGCTTGCATTGCAAACGTTTCATCACCAATCAAGATGGCATTCACAATGCAGTTACTGCATTGTTATACCATCCGAGCTACAAAAACAACAATGAACACCGTTGTTTACAAAACTGTCATAACGTGATTCATTCTCACAGTTCTGCTAAAACCAACTTTCCCAAAATTGCTGAATGTCAATGAAGCCCTTGGGCCATGAACAGGGATACAGATGACACCGCACTTACGTCAAATTCATCGACTGTAAGTGATAGGTAACTCAAAGGGTCTCTATAGTGAATCAACTGCATTTTGTTTTCCATGAAGTAACTGACACAAACATCAGTGGGAGAATTTGAAAACGGTTGGACAATTGCTCTCTTCAACTGGAATGTTTATCGCATCGACAAAAATAATATCAGAAACCTACCGAAGGGATTTCTCGGGTCTCTTTTAAGTGTGTTGTCTGCCTTCTGGATCTTGTTGAGATGACGAGAATATGAAAATAGAATATTAACCAACATGCCGTGCAAGTGATAACCGAGTAGAAACTGTGAATTTTGAAGCTGCACTCCACGGGATCCAGCGTTGTACGATTAGGAACTGGAAAGGGAGAGACAATCATTCGGTCATTTGACAAATACTCCTTATTTACAGACGTGGGTGATTGTGAAAATTGTTGGTCCACTTGCGACCTTTAAAAGTCTCACTGTATCTACTCTCAATTTTTATATTCTTACGTTGTTACTGATCTTCTTTACTGCTCCCCAGTTTTATTTACCTATCTTAAAGTTCAAGATTACACAATTCAACGCCAGTTTACCAAAATTATTTCACACACACAACAGGGTATTCCTTATTTACACTGGTTTAACTTTACCGCTGATAAACATTTTACCTGCTACGAAACCTTCTGCGATAATATTCTGTTAGACAAGTCAAGTCAAGAAACGGCTTTATACACCTGGAGAGGTGGATATTCAGCAACAGTTCACCATCACATACAGTTCTTGAACAATGTGTGTCTACTTCTATAACTAGGTGTCGTTATAAACTTGTATATACTCGTACCACTGACCACCGTTTGTCCGTTTTCACTTATATTTTGAGATTTCTGGCAAGCAGGCATCCATTAGAGAAGCCGCTGTGAAATTCTCACCTAAATGATATCCATTTTCATTCCTCTTGAATTTACGATGCCGTATTTCACTTTTTCTCTGTGAGTGTATGCGATGATAAATGATCCTAGTGAGACAGGAGATGAAAGTCCATCCATTAGGATGAATAAAGCAATTTTTGAATTGACTTGACTTGAAATTAAAATGAATCAGTTTGTTCACCCGTTTCTTGTTTTAAAATCTAATGAACCGGTACACATACGAAATTTTTAATCAGACACATTTGTTCAGGTGTTTATTGTATACATCATAACAATTTTCCTTCGGCCATAGATTGCATACAAAGTGGCAGATGTTTACGAAATCCCTTCTAAACTGCGCATGACAGACGTTTTGGCTTATTTTATTTTACAAATAAAAGTATAGTGAACGATCTGAGTGATGTCATCCTGGGTCAAAACATCTATCGTTGTTGTGAGATACTACTACTACTACTACTACTACTCACTTGTGAGCAGTGCACTAAAAGATGCGATCAGCGGTTTCTTTCAACGACCAAAAATGAACAAAACCTGTTCGAGCAAACTGTTGCTGTTGGGTACGGCGAGCAAAAGAATGCGCACCCAATAGTGGACCGTTACATCAAATATCCTGTGTGTTTGCGAGAATTCTGCAAACCTATTCCAAATGAGATATTTTGTTATATGAATGACAATTTAACCATATTCTGGCCGTTATTGGCAAGAGGAATCACGACACTTACAAGACGAAACCCCAGAAAGCCACAGCTGCGGCAATCAACAGTGTACAATGATAAAATGCTCCAGAAAACACCAGTGATTTAGGTTCACTATTTTTCATTTAGTGTCTTCAACCGATCGGCTACCGGATTCTTAGGATCTTTAGCCGAAGAGATGTTTGTTGCTAAACTTTTCCGTGCCGCTCCTTCTAATTCGTCCCCATGTTATTTTCATCACACTAGAGCGATCACAGCAAGGAAAATCCGAGGTCGTGAACGACCGCTAGGCATGCACCATGAATGTCCCAACCGCTACGGCCTACTTGCCTAAAACGTTTTCCTAAATCTTGCCGGCCCGTTTGCTCCACCCAACTTGCAGGAAAACTGCCTAAATACCAATTGTATCACACTTACAGTGAACAACCTTATTCACATGAAAATTCAAGCTTTGGAAATCGTAAAACAGAGCTAATTGCAGAGTGACAAAGTACAGGCAGTGGTTCACAGCATCATCGAAAGGCCACATTGACACTATATAGGTGGTTCACTCCGATGTACGCCACTCAGGTTTTGGGTGCGCATGTAGCTCCCAATACTTTTTCAACCTTCGCTGGTCACATATCTACTCGGTTAGGAGATAAATAAATAACCAGAAATGGTTCACAGAGTTCCACTACAAATGTTGTAATGTCCGTATGAACAAAACAACCCCATTCCCAGTCCCCGTTGATGGTGATTATGTATCTAGAGTTCCTCGTTCTTTGAGCTGATTTTCACAGTTACTGTTATCAACAAATCAAACGCACACACACACACAAAATGTTTTCTCGAATTTTTATTGGCATTTCTGCTTTGTTGATGAATGTAGATGACAACCAGTGAAGAAGATAAGTTCACAGGTTCTGAGCCCTTCCGTGCTGCTAACCATATATAGCCAAAAATGACAGTTGTTAGAACGCACCACTGATGATGCAAAGGTTGCTCACTTGTTTGAAGGCAATCAACCGTACGACCTCAAACATGCGTTTCTAACATTCACGACAAAACAGCCTCGGACTGTAAAGCCGGATTTGCACTGTGAGCTAAAATTGTTCCGGTCGACAGTATCATTTTGTCTGAGGTGATGGAGCAACCTAGAAAAGGATCCGGGAATAATCCTGAGCTTTAACACGAAGAGTTTGTTTTTGTCTGTTTCTTATCCTTTTTTCCTGGAGGACGTTGATTTGGCTCATTCTACCCTCATTTGCTTCCACACATTTTGGCCAAACCCTATTGCATGACTGCATGACTGACTTGAGAGTGGGAACACCGAAAACATGTTTGATTGTACCTTGCAATGAGTTGAGTCTTATAGCTCAAATTCTTACCGTCGCTAAACCTACCTGAATAGAGAAATCTCCGAGTAGTGTTGAAGTGTTTCGTAGTTGCTCCGAATGCAACAAGAGCATCGCAGTATACAAGATAATATCCGTACGTGGCGAATTTGGTCAATGCAAATTCTTTTCCCTTTTGAACAAATGCAAACTTCGGTCCTGTAAGGACGGCCCATTCGGTGTTCAGCACCTCGGGTGGATAACCGTTGGGCTTGCACTGTAATCGAACAGCATACGAGTCCTTTTCACTCTTGTCGGTCACGGCTTGTATGGTAACGGCTGTTGGCTGTTCTAAAGGGAAAAATGGAAACCTTGCCCATTAAAATATTGAAAGAAGCGCAAAGCATTTTCGATTGAAAAGAATCCGGAAAACTATCAACATGATATGTTTTGTAGGGAGGAAATGCATAAAAGTGGTTTTAATAACCATGGAGCCAAAGGAATTGTTCCGGAGACTACCGAAAATTGCTTCTCATAATCCGTTGTACTCTATTCCACCCATTGGTTAATCAGCGACACTTTACAGCAAATATCTGATTCCAGGGCACAAGGATGAAACCTAAATTTTAATGAAATATCAGGTTATATTCGACTGAATTTAATAGCTCGGTAACATGCATCGTATTGGACAATATCGGAGCATCATCCATATGCAATCGACGTGTTATACCTGATAGTCTTCCTCCAGAAAACTTAAATATTTGTGCTAATCACATAAGCCCAAATCTTTCGCAGACCTTTATTTGCCATCTTTGCAGGTTTAAAATAGCTGATTTACAGCCGAATATTTTTGTGGTGATCGTTTAAGGAGATCATACGATAGTAAGGCACGCACCACGACGTAGGTTTCAAGCAGTCAAGCAGGAGACAGAGTTCCCTTCAAACCTTGTGATCTCACGTTCGGTTCAATTCAGTTTTTACAACCATTAATGCTTCGGCTTTCAATGCTGTCTCACGACTGCTAATTTGGGTAAAATAGCAAATTCAAATTCAAATTCAAATTTTTATTATGGGATATAACTTACAAAGACTTCGCTTTTACAAATCCCATAGGGTGTTTACACATGGGTTCGGATGACGAATCACAGTATCACAGTTGGTCCACGGAAGTAAAGTAGTAAGGTAATGTTTTGACAAGCATAGGAGAATGTTATGTAGTTGGGTGCTGAAACGCAATGTTTGCCTGAGCATCATCAAGCTGACGCTTGAATGATACTAATGTTGGGGCACAGACA